TAACTTGAGTTGTGTAAGACGTAATAAGGTAGAAGTTGGTGATGCATAATTTGTCCTTACATATTTTCAAAAGAAGCAAGCTGAAAATCCACACTTTTATTATGTAATACAATGCGACAAAGATGGAAGAGCAACTAATATTTTTTGGGTTTGATTCAAGGTCTTGCGTGGCATATCAATGTTTTAGTGATAATGTCACCTTTGATATAACCTATTGGACAAACAAATATAATATGTTATTCACTCTATTTGCTAATGTGGACCATAATTCTCAATCCATATAATTTGGTTATACATTATTACAAGATGAAACATAATCCTTTTTGTATCATAATCGACCAACACCCAGTTATGAAGACGACTATTGCTAAGATTCTTCCTTACACACATCATCATTTGTCTTTGGCATGTCATGAAAAAGTTTGATGAAAAACTATCACAAATATATTACAAGAAGATAAATTTCAAGGAAGACATGAAAATTTGCATTTGCTATGCAAATAAAGTGAAAAATTTTGAGAAAAAATAGAAGGAAATAATTGTAGAGTATGGTTTATAAAGTAACAAATGGCATCGAAACTTATACGTGAAAGTTGGGTTCCAGTGTATAATCGTGGATTATTTTTTGGGGACATGAATACTAACAACTGTAGTGAAGGAATTAACTCATTTTTAATAGTTTTATTATTTCTCGAAATAACCTTCATGATCTTGTTTTCAAATAAGATAGGTTTAGCTTCGATTCTTAAAAGATAGAATGATGGGGACTTCTAATTATAACATAAGTAATTTATTGTAAATGATGATGTAAGCATGCCATGAAAGTACATACTAGGAATATTTTTTAGAAGTTGAAGGAAGAATGGAAGAAGGTCAAGGATTATAAGGTTGAAGATGTGAATTATGATTTGTGGAACTTACATATAAAACATAGAGAAAGAGCATTCGATAAGTTTCAAGTAAATTTTAATTTGCAAAATCATGAATGAAAATGTAAATTAGTTGTGTCAATAGGCCGAGCCGAGTACTAGCCATGAGCTCGGCTTGTGCCTCGTACTAGTCGAGTGGCTCATCTAAGACAAGTCGAGCCTATACTCAGCTTGTTTTTCAAGGGCCAAGGCTTGGCCTTTGAGATTGTAAGTCATGAGCTTGAGCCGAGTTTAGCCCATGAGCCTCTTAATATTTTATTTTATTTTATTTTTTTATGTTTTTGTTCTTTTATTTTTAAAAAGAGTGAAA